TATTAAAAAGCTATTTTTTATCAGTCTGAGCATAGTACTTAGTAAATGTTTATATTATATTTCAGTTTGATTAGGACACGAGTATCAGTACTTCCTTTTCATTTTCACGGATCAGGTGGGGACTCAGACTAAGTACTACATTTATTATAATTACGCTACCATGTTTGAGGTGTGTATTATCAGTATCCGCTCGAAATGGTCGCCGGTCCATTCTGGGTTCTAGTGGCCTTAATCTGCCCACTAGAGTGTGCACATGGTGTCCGACTTATGCTGGCAGATGTTCAGTTATCAGTCAGGTGATGTATATCACGAGATCAGTATCAGATTATTTAGTACTGATATCAGATATCAGTTTCAGTTCAGTTCAGTTATATATGCCAGGATCATGATATTGTAATTATTTTCAATGTTTACTTAAGTATGAGTTTCTGCGGAGCACAGTGGATTAGTGCTCACGCCCCCACGTTATTCATGTTTTCCAGGTCACAGATTCGGAGCGGAGGAGTGAGCGGGCGACCGGTTCAGGATATTTGTTTATATGTGTATATTATGTTTGGCTACACTACGACTCCGCTACTGTTTTCAGTACTCTAAACCAGCTTTTGACCCAACGTTAGTTGGTTAAGATATTATATAACCGTTTTATTATTAAACTCAAAAATTAACGGTTTTCAGAATAAGACAAATTGTACGGTAACACTCTGAATCAGTATTTCGCAAAATATATGTTTTTATTTAGAAAACTTTGCGAAAATCGCACTCTGATTTTCATGAAATATCGGGGTGTTACAATTGGTATCAGAGCACGTTTCTGCGTCTCTGAAAGTTTTTATAAGTCAGGAATTTTGCAAAAACCTGAACCGTCACGCTCACGCCTCGCCGACTACAGGTAAGTGTTGATTTATGATTTAAGTTATAAACAAATTACTTTGTCTATGCTCAGAAATTTATTAATCATGACTTAGTTAAGATGCTCGAATCAGGTTCAGAACTTATAGTTCAGTGTACTCAGATATAACTCTAGATTTCCTCAAGATTCAAGTCAGTATTTTCCAGCCATATTTGGCTACTCGTCAAGAGATTTGTGTGCTTTAGTAATCAGTTAAAGTATTTTTCATGTGCTCAATAATATTGAACTTCCTCAATGTTCAGATGCCGCCCCGTAGGGAACCCGATAACCCGGTTATTCCCCAGGCCACAGTAGTCGCACGGTTTCACGACTATCATCCTGAGAAATTCTCCGGTCAGGGGGATCCCCGGATTGTGGACGAGTGGATTCAGGGGCTTGAGTTGATTTTGGAGGTCATGGACTGTCCAGATCGCTATCGCGTTATATGCGCATAGCTTCAGCTAATCGACGATGCCCGACTTTGGTGGAATGCCTATTGGAGCATGCGTCCCGGCGAGAAAGAGGGTTGTACCTGGGAGAGACTCAAGGAGCTAATCCACGAGAAGTACTATCCCACGTATTACCGAGCAGAGATGGAGCGTCAGTTTCTGTCGCT